GCGAGCAGTAGCCTGTGGAGGGGGGAGCAAAACTCCATAGTGTAATGCAGTTAACAGTGACGATTGTGTTGGGTGTATTGAGATGAATTACAATCTCTGTGCAAGGTTTAGTAGATTTACAGATTATATTATCTGTTTTTAAAAAACTAATGTTCACAAAATTTCAAGTGGCATAGATGTTTTCTTGGAAGAATCCATGCATTAAAGATAAAACTAATTATGGGCATGTATGAATTTTTTTAATAGCAGAGTTGATGTGTGTCCTCATAGTACAAGCTCCCTGTCAGGTACAATGCAAAATAAAAACAACAATGATCTAATCAAAGTGAAAAGATAATACTCCCAGAATTTGAAATTGTCAAGAAAACTGTTTGAAATGTGCTATTTCAAATAATTATGATCTGCTTATACACTTTTGGTGGAAGTGTAAATTAGGTCAATCATTGTGAAAATCAGTGTGGCAATTCCTCAAAGGGCAAAAAGCAGAACTACCATGCAATCCAGCAATCCTGTTACTGGGTATATACCCAAAGGAATATAAATCACTCTATTATAAAGATACATGCATGCCTATGTTTATTGCTGCACTATTCTCAATAGTAAAAACATGGAATCAACCCCAATGTCCATCAATGATAGACTGGATAAAGAAATTGTGGTACGTATACACCATGGAATACTATGCAGCCATAAAAAATAAGGAAATCATATATGTTGTGGGAAAATGGACGGAGCTGGAGGCTATTTTCCTTAGCAAACTAATGCAGGAACAGAAAACCAAATACCACATGTTCTCACTTGTAAATGAGAGCTAAATGATAAGAACTTATGAACACAAAGAAGGAAACAATAGACACTGGGGTCTACTTGAGGATGGAGGATGGGAGGAAGAAGAGGAGCAGAAAAGATAACTATTGGGCACTGGACTTAATACCTGTGTGATGAAATAATCTGTACAACAAACGCCCTGCCACGTGTCTGCCTGTGTAACAAACCTGCACACGTAGCCCCAAACCTAAAATAAAAGTTAAACAAATAAATTAAATAACTATGTTCTGCTGTTGGGATTTATATTTGTAGGTAGGATGAGAAAACATGGACTAGATGTAAAAACACCAAATTGATGATCATAGTTTTCTTCCCAATATTAAAAGATGGCATTTGCTGACAAGAATGGATTGCTATGAACTGTGACTTGTCAAATTTTCCTCTCATCATTTTTTAAAATTAGGATGTCATAATCATACTTCATACATTAAAGCTTAAGTAGTTTTCTTTTTTTAAGTTTTTTGAGTGGTTACTTTAATCTTTTTGTTTTGTTTTGTTTTGCTATTACACTTTAAGTTCCGGGATACACGTGCAGAACATGCAGGTTTGTTACATAGGTATGCATGTGCCATGGTGGCTTGCTGCGCCCATCAACCTGTCATTTAGGTTTTAAGCCCCGCATGTATTAGGTATTTGTCCTGATGCTCTCCCTTCTCCTTGCCCCACAGAGGCCCTGGTGTGTGATATTTCCCTCCATGTGTCCATGTGTTCCCATTCTTCACCTCCCACTAATGAGTGAGAACATGAGGTGTTTGGTTTTCTGTTCCTGTGTAAGATTTAAGTAATTTTCTCAGTGTCATTTCTCCATCTCCACTGTGGCCTAAATTGTGCAGAACCTGCTGTGAGTCTAAATATGAGTTCACATGTGATAGGCAGATGTGATAGGCAGAATAACAGTTCCCTAAAGATTTCCACGTCCTCATCTCTGGAACCTGTGAATAAATCACTGCACATGGCAAAGGAGAATGAATAAAGGTTGCAGATAAAATTGATTGATAATCATGTGACCTTAACACGGAGAGAATGTCCTAAGTTGTCCAGGTGTGTGCAACATCCTTAACAGCAAGACAGGAAGGAGGGGAAGGAAGGACCAGGGAGATGGCAGCCTGAGACAGAATCAGCCGCTGCAGCTAAGGAATGCAGGCATCCTCTTGTGGCTGAAAAAGGCAAGGAAACAGAGTTTGTCAGATCTTCTAGGAGTACAGTCCTGCTGACACCTTGATTTTAGCCTCATAAGGCCCATTTCAGACACCTGACCTTCAGAACTGTAAGATTGGTGTTGTTTTAAGCCACTAAGTTTGCAGCAATCTCTTACAGCAGCAGCAGAAGACTAATGCAAGAGAGTTCTTGATTTACACGTATGCATGCTTCCGGGTATACACATATACACACATACCCCTAAGGGAGAACCCACCAAGAACTAGAAAGTTGTTTGCTGGCAAATGCCTTCTAACATACAGTTTAGTAATAAAATGTCCCCACATTATGGCATCATCACTATCACAGGCCAACATAAAGAAACAAAATTTGCAACAAATACAGCAAAGGCTTTCCCCCATAAGACCTCATATAAATTAACGAGAACAAGATCAAGTTAATAAATGGGCAAAGAACTTCTGAGGTCATTCACAAAAGAAAAAACATAAATGACTAATAAAATATGAAAATATGTTAGATGAAAGAGAACTATTGCAAAAATAAATAAATGAAGGGATGCCATTCTGTTTATTTTCTTGGCATGTATTTTTAAGTGGAACTATCCTATGGTATGGAAAAGCAAGCATTGTCAGTCACTGCTGTGGTAGGATAGATGATACAAACTTTCTGAAAACTAATAATGTATAAAAAATAGTCATAAAAATATTCAATGGCACTTCTGCAATAATAATTTTACCTCTGGGAATCAGATCATCAAAAATTCAGGAAAAGCATTAATATTTTTCACAATATTATTTATAACTTGAAAACAACTTTCAATAATAGAACATTAATACATAGCAGTATATTTAAATAATACAAATTTACATAGTCATTAATAATTAAGCTTATGGAGAGTATAAACTTGGGTCATACGAGTATAAGTGATATATAGCAACTACAAGAGAGAAAGATTGGAAAGAAATCTATTGTAAAGTTATTAGTGATGGGATTAGGGGCTATTTATTTCTTGTGTATGTAACTGGATTACTGAATGGGTTGGTAGAATACAGTCAAAAGGCAATTCTGTTTGTTCTCTCACTCCCCCTTCAAATACACATTACGGCTTTTTTCCATCTCACCCTTTGGATCATATTTCAAGCAGGATTTATAGCTCTTTTAGCTCCTCAGAGATATTAAATATCTAGTCCAGGTCACTGCAAATTCTCATCTACTTAAAAACTCTCCCGCTCAGCTTGGACCTGATTTCAGCTTGCAGATTTGCAGAGGAGGGAACACAGCACTGCTTCCTCCTCTTCTCACTCCACTTCTCTCACTGTTCCTCTGCGTTATTGTGGGGATGAAGTAGAAGGAGAAATGATGGGAGAAAAGGAGGGAATAAGGTGTTAGCATGACGGGTTCCATTGTAATCTGGCAGGGATACTCTCTGGGTGTGACAGCTCCCACACGCTCATGCTTCTTCTCGTGGGGTGCTTTTAGGGGTTCTTCGGAATCCCACCCCGTCCCTCCTTTAAGATCCCTACCTGTTTCTCGGATGATCAGCCTCCCTGGTTTGCCACTTTGCACCCCTACTTGTCTTCTATAGCCAAAGTACCACCATCCTTTTTCTGAGGTCACCTGCCCTTCCAGGAAGTCCTCTGGGATGGCTTCAACTCCAGAACAGCACAGGAAGATCTCTCCAGAGGCCTTATCCCCAGGCAAAGGGCACACACACACATCCTACCCTGACGATTCCACCCAGTCCTGTCTCCACACACTGCTACCAAAAACCCCTCTAGACACAGCCTCTTGCCTTTTGACTCTTCCAAGTGTGAGTTGGTTGCCAAGCCCCCATGTTTCCCAAAGTGTAAGAAATATTAAGCTCCCCAAGTGCTTTCTGAAGCACCCCCTCACTTGGCTTGAGGTGAGAGGAGGTGCCCGCTGGGTGGGAGGAGCCATCAGCACCCTGGCAGATTTCTCTGTAAGTCCTTCTCCTAAGACCTCACCCTAAACTTTTCCCTAACCTCTCATCCTCTCAGAGCTTCTTGACCTTTGTCTAGACAGTCCAGGGATGGATTACAAGCTTAGGGTCCTAATTCACGTGGGTAGTCAAAAGCCCCAGAAATCTTGTTCTCTGCATTGGAAACTTGAGCCTTTGACACCAGGACTATCAGAAAAAGTTTCTTTTCCCAGTGTTATTTTATAATGGGGGTAAAGGGTGGAAACAAATGTTAACAACGGCAAGAAGATAAACTACAGCAGCTATTAAGTATCTATTTTTCATGCCTATTGAAGTGCTTATAGTAAGTATTTTTAGACTGGACTAGATTCATTGACAATTTTGTCCTCTAGGAATTGCAGTGTCTTTGGCTCCATGGAATAAAAATCGTCCTCTTAGCATCATAAATGCAGAGGTTAAATTCTACACCTGCATTTATTCTCTGAACTACTAGTATCCAAAGTACAAATTATCTCTTCTATTTTATTTTATCACTACTGAATCACCAGCAAGTTAATGTGTTTTCTTGTGGTATGATTAACAAAGCAATTTAGTACCTAAATATGATTTACATTCCCAGAGCATTTTAAATAATTAAGTAGATGATTGGTATTTAATTTATAAGCAACATGTTTTGATTCCTTCTGTAGCTTTTAAAAATTAAAATAGTTATAGTTAATGAGTGCTAGTACAAAATGCTCAATCATCAGAAAAAAATCAAAAGTTTAAAATGGATTTCTTAATAATCTTTGCCGATTATAAAATACAAGAACTGTAAGTCCCAAATCAAAATCTAAGTGAAATGTCTAGAAATTGGTTTTCCCCCCCATTTCTGTGTACTTTTTAGAAAGCTATTGAGGCTACATAGAAATGAAAAGGCTCTTTTAAAATCACAGCTATCATTTTAAAAGAGTGTTTTCTACTGCAAATTCTTAAAAGTTGCTCATAAATTTTTATCTTTATTAGATTATATTGGCTCTTTAAGTATGGTAACTTGGCATAGATTCTTAAGGTACACATGTTTTCCCTTTTGCAGTTGGTGGGTTTTGTGTATGCCTGTTATGTGATCAGTATTTCCATGGAAGAAGAAGACACATGTAAGTACTGTTTTCTCTCTCCCTGTGGGTTCCTTTTGAATGAGATACAGCTTCCAAAACTAATCATTACAGGGTTATGAACTCTTTTATATTTGGAGTCTAAAATGATTGAACTCAGCAGACTAAAGTTACAGTCAAAAGTTGACAGACTGAATTGCACACAAATAAGGTGACGCTACATATTGAAACTCTCAATTTGTGAGAGCACGTGCAGAGACTCAGAAGGCCAAGGACTGCTGTCATATAGCTTAGCAACTTTTCATCAGACATCTAACCATTATGCTGAGTAGACAATCAACGGTTGTTTTATCTATTAACAATTTTAGGCATGTTGGTGGCAGAATTTTGAAGTCTGAGTAACAGTAATGATATCAATACAATAATACATTACAGAAAGATCTATATGTATATAAACTATATAAAATGCAATGAAAAACAACTAAAATTTACAACCTTCCAGGTGAGATGCAAAAAAAAAAAATTACGAGGTGCTAAAAAAAAAAGTTAATGGGATACTTAAAAGCTAAATCACATTTTAGCAGAACACCCAAAGGAAAAACATTTATTAATATTATGACCTGTAGTTATATAATAGAGCTTTAGCAGCATAGGTCAACAAACGGCCTTCATTGAGCACCTGCTGATGTATAAGACACTTCTTGGCACAACTCTGTTAGGGACTCATATTTTAATTTACTTTCAAAAAAAAGGTTTTTTTTGAGACGGAGTCTCCCTCTGTCACCAAGGCTGGAGTTCAGGGGCGCGATCTGCGCTCACTGTAAGCTCCACCTCCCAGGTTCACGCCATTCTCCCGCTTCAGCCTCCCCAGTAGCTGGGACTACAGGCGCCCGCCACCACACCTGGCTAATTTTTTTATATTTTTAGTAGAGACGGGGTTTCACCGTGTTAGCCAGGATGGTCTCGATCTCCTGACCTCGTGATCCACCCGCCTCAGCCTCCCAAAGTGCTGGGATTACAGACGTGAGCCACCGTGCCCAGCCTCCTTTCAAAATTTTAATTTACTTTCAAAAGTTTAATTTAACTTTCAAAAAATAAATTATTTTAGATAAAGAAATCACACCAAACCAAACCAGAGATTGCATTGCAGTCATTGTTTGAATTTGTAACAAAATGAAGCAAAGTAGCTAGCCATTATAACTTCCTTCCAGAACACAACCTCAAAGGGGTCTGATGAATGCTTCCCATCAAACAGGTGGGTGGTGCATGATATATGAGTTGGAATCCAGAATCTAATGGGGTCTTGTCTCAATTTATTTGACCAAACCTCAGACCCTGAGATTAAAAGTGTCAGGCAGTGAAAACATGCAGACAAATTGCATCATGTATTTAATGCTTACTCAGGGTTTTTTGTTTGTTTGTTTGTTTGTTTAATGCTAGACAACACAAAAAATTTCTGTCACTTGAAAAGTGCAGTTCAATGACAACACTTTTCATTTTGAGATTAACTTCAAAATCTCTATTTTTAGTTTTATTAGTAGTTCTACAACCTGATGAAGTTAATATACAGAAGGTTAGCAGCATGCTTCCAACCCACAGCTACAACAGGCTACACAGCCAAAAACAGTTGGCTGAGCATGAGCAACAGTAACTGGAATTTCAACCTGAAAGTTATTGGAATTTGAGCTGAATAAGTCAAAAAATTGATAAGTCCCAGTTGAATCTCTTATAAAGTAGATACCTACTTTTGAGTAGTTATAAGACAACAACAACAACCAAAACAAACAGTCCTCTTTCTTTTCCTCCTCACTGAACTGTTTGAAGACTCTCAAAAGACACCAGTGCTCAGTTGTACTTAACAGTGGGAGAAAAGGCAAATTAATCAATAGTCTTATCATCTAGTGCAGTAAATATACAAAAGTCTTTTCCTTGAGACTTGTGGTTTGAGTAAAGCTGGGAAATGCAAAATGGTATGCAAAATAAAAGACTCATCTAAATGGATACTTTTGTTAACCTTCTATTAGCCTTCTTTTCCGTGTATATAAATTGTATTGTTCACTGACAGATATTGTTGTTCCATTGACTTTGACGTCTTTAATTAGCTTAAGTTTCTCTATAGAAATCTCTGAATCAGCTATTTCAATGCCCTTCAAACTGGGATTGAAGCAGCTGCTAGGAGACTATTCTATTAGTGGTTTAATTCTAGTGTTTGTTATGAGGGCCATACATTACATTACTGAGAGACATCTGGATATAGTACTTGTGTTGTCATCAATTCAATTCAAATTGACTCAGAGTCAAAACGAAACTTGGGTGCTCAAAGCAAAGTATATATGCCCAAGACTAACTTAACATGATAATCTGCTGGAAGAGAGATGACAATGGAAAGCAGTCACAAACATTTGAGTCTGATAGTTCTCAACTGAGGCTAATTTTATGTTTTTTATTGAAAGAGGTAGGAAACAAAAGTGCAGATGTAATTAAGTTGTCCCAGGGTCTTCAGAAGGCAGATGTGAGCAAAATGTAATGTCTGAAACCAATTGCAACGATCTCAAACACTAGTACTATTTGTGCCAACACTTAGCTTTTAGGTGCAATAATGAACTGCCCCTTGGATATGACATTACCAACCCTCTGTCAGGAAGACATGTCTTTTGAATTATTTTTCCAAAACTTACACATAAAATAAGTAAACAATACTAGTATCTTTCCAATTTGTCTAAGTACACTTCTGGAAAGCTTATTCTAAAAGAGAACTGCAAATATACTATAATGTCAGTTTTTTGGCAGGCAATACATCATTCATAATTTTGATTCTATTCTAACTAATGAAAATTTCTGCATTATTCAAAATGCAAAGTTAAGCCTTGTTCTTGGACTGAAAGCTGCCAGCCAGCCTTAAAAATTAATAACAGCTACCACTTCCCTCCTCCGCCCTGTTAAAGTGGATATATGGGACTAACATTTCAGACAGATATTTCTGAAGGGTAATAAATACTTGAGGAAACATTTATTTCTAGCCACCCGTCTTCTTGGTTACCTCTCAGCCTCTTTTATTAACTATTTCTTATAAAGATTATGATTGCAGGTCAAAGACAATGAAATAAAAAGCTCTCAAAAGGCAGAGTGCTAGATGGGGTCAGCAGTTTTGATCATTCATTCTAATGAAAAAGCCTAGTTATAACTCTTCCTTCCATTTTTCATTTCTTTTAAATATATATAAATATATATCAATCTCCATGAACACTTTCATGAGACTAGAATCTCTGGAATCAAAATGATAAAAATCTGTCAACACCTTGTTTGGGAATCATTTGCTGAAAATGAACTTGTGGATTTGTTATTACCTTGTTAGACTTTCTAGAAATAATGTTTATAATTCAGAGAAGTGTGAAGGTAAGGTGAAAGATGCTGAAAAATAGCATTTTACTTGTATAAGTACTGCCAGGCTTTTTCAGAGGGTCTGTTGCTTTCACTACTCCTTGTGATATTAGGCTGCAAATTGCAACTGGCATATTTATTTGGGCTCACAAAGGCTAGTCTGGGTTGTATATGTTGAATGATGAGAAAGAAAAGTATACTGAAAACCCTAACAGTTTTTGAAAGGAAATGGACCCCTCAGATGTGGGTTCAATATTTTACATTACAAAGTTCTAAATAGTTCTTTATATAAACATTTGACCCTCGCTATTATACTTTTGAGGAACTTTTTATTGGAAGGAAGCATAACTATCAGAAAAACATTTCATCGCTCTACTGTCCTTGAAGCTTCCTGCTGGCTAATGTTCATGTATTTACCTGTCTGCCCATGAACTCCTTCTAAGAAAATGAGGTGATATTTCCATAGCAATGGTGTGAGCTGAAAATTTTTTTAAATCCCATCTCTGCCTAAGAATTTATGGAAGAAGCGAATGGTAGGGAAAAAAAAAAAAAAAAAAGACTAGTTTGAATGTTAATTTATGAATTTCCTTTCCCCAACTTATAATGTATGGAAGCCTCAGAGAAGTAAAGTGACCACAAGGCCAGACACCAGGGGAGGGAATAAGCAGAGGCCTGGAAGATCTTCAGAGTAGAAAACCAGTCCAGTGTTTTGCACTCCTAGCAATGTATGGATATTTGAAGGTGAGAGGAGAGGAGAATGTTGTGAGTCAAAGACGGAGAAATGTGCAAGACTAGGTAAGGATGGTCCTGAAGTCACAGTGAACATTTCAAAGGAGTCACCATGTTTGCCTAATAAGCCATTAAGAGTCTACTGATTCTCAGAGTGCGTGATTTTCTTTTTTGGTAACTATCTAGTTGGTTGCATGTAACTGTCCTAAAGGCTGTTTCTCTCTCCATCAGCCTCACTAGAGCTCAGACTTAGATCCTGAAACATTTTCCTAATTTGCTGAGATGGCTCTGCCAAATATCTACACAATGACTAGCTAATTCTCCCACTAACATAGATCTGTGAGGGTAAAATCTTTGTTTTGCTCCCCATTGTAACCCAATAACTCAGAAAAATGCCTTGCATGTAGAATTCAATAAAGAAGTATTTGTTGGCTGGGTGTGGTGGCTCAACCCTATAATCCCAGCACTTTGCAAGGCCGAAGCGGGCAAATCACTTGAGCTCAGAACTCAACGGCAGCCTGGGCAATACGGTGAGACCTCGTCTCTACCAAAAATACAAAAACATAGTCGGTGTGGTGGTATGCACCTGTGGTCACAGCTACTCAGGAGGCCGAGGTGGGAGGATCACTTGAGCTTGGGGTCAGAAGTGGGGTTGGTGGGATGGCGGTTCCAGGTTTCAGTGAGCTGAGATCCTGCCACTGCACTCCAGCCTGGGTGACAGAGACGCTGTCTCAAAGACAACGAGGAAAAGAAATATTTGTTGAGTTTATAGTATTAAATAAATTTTCTGGGCCCAACAACTCAGTTTTACAAAGTCATTTTTAAAACCCCAATGCTCTCAAGTTTCATGAAATTATACTGCTTTATGTTTCAAACATAGTGAGATGTCCAATGCACTTGCAAATGTTTATGTGAGGCAAGTGGAGGTCCTG